GCATTCATTTAGGGCTTGGATGATTCTAGTCACATCCTGCTCCTGCCCCTAAAAACAGAACAGGACAGGGTGGACACAGGCAGACAAACAGACCGACCAAGGAGGGAAGGCCTCCAGGGATCTCTTAGAGAGAAGAATCATTCCCAAAATATGGACCTGAAGGGCTTGGCTAGCTCCCACTGGTCTGGCCTGAGACTCTCCAACAAAGGCCCATTCTCCACCCTCAGGGAGGAAGCACAGCACTGGACAGTTCAGCTGATGTATCAGGCTCTGCTGAGAAAAGCCTATTCCAGTCGGTAGGAGAAATATGGAGAGGGTCTCCAAACAAGGAATGTGGAAGGGCGGGGCTGGTGACAGAGGGAAGCGTCTGACAATTCAGTGGCAGATGAAATTCCCCTCCCTCCCCTCCATTCCTGGTGGGCTAGAATAAATGACTGCACACAGATTCAACAGGAGAAAAAACAAATAGATTTATTAACAAGCAAGAAGACAAAAATAAATAAATAAATAAATAAATAAATAAATAAATAAATCAGCATGGAAAGAGTCAGAGATGACGAGGACCCACTAAAGTTTACATTACATTCTTTTATAGAAGGAAGGAAGAAAGAATAGGGAATGTGGAGAAGCTGGAAAGTTCTGCGGGATAAGGGAGGAACAGAAATTAGCTGGTAAGATGAGTCTCTTCAGAACTTAAATGAATCCAAAGGATGGAGATTTATCACCGAGGAAGAGAAGTTTATGCATGTGGGATACATCCCTCAGTCTTCCTAACTGAGCCTAAGGGTGAGATTCCAAGTGGGATGGAAAGCAGATCTAACGTCCTTGTAGGTTGGTCTTTGTGGGAGTCAAGGAGGGGAGTGGGACAAGCCATCTTGCCCTACTGCCCAGGCTGGCTTTGAATTCCTGTCCCAGCAACCCCCCTTCCAGCCTCGGCCTCCCAAGGAGCTAATGCCCAGCTTGCAGCTTGGTCTTGACACAACTAAGAGAAATGGTGAAGTTCATGTGTTTGGGTGAGGAGAGGCTAGGCTAGGATCTTTAATTTCCCCTGTATCAACATTCCCAGCATAGCAAAAGGTGCCATACTGGGGAGAATATCATCCTCCCGGGAACAAACTGATGCTTGGTCAGGATAGCTCTTAGCCTAACAGCTCAACACAAAGGAAGAACAAAGAAGGAAGATAAGTACGGGTGAGCTGGGGACGGAGAGGATTGGGTAGAGAGCATACCCTGAGCAGGCAGCCCCAGAACCTAACAAGAAGCCTGTCACTGTGGCAGCCAAGTACACAGCCATGAGAGACACAGAGGAGGTCCACACCTGTGTGTGATCTCCACAGAGGATGAGAGACAGGGAGGGGAGAGGGGAAAGAAGTAGAGGGGACATTTGCTTAGGACACGATCCAGTATAGCAGCAGGTAACCGTACGTGTCCAGTCTAAACTGAAATGCTTCATATGTATACGTTATATCTAAGGGCTGAGGAGATGGAGGTCAGTCAAGCGCTTGCCTTACAAGCATAAGGACCCAAGTTTAACTCCTGGAGCCCCTGTTTTAAAAAAGTCTGGTGCTGTGCTGTGTTCCTAAAACATGAACACTGGGGAGGCAGAAACAGGCAGATCCCTGGGGCTCTGGGGCAACAGCCAACTGATTTGTCAAGCTCCAGGCCAGCAAGAGATACTTTAAAATGGGGGTGGTCATGAAGAAAACCTGAGGACTAAGGAACACAGTGCAGCCTGGCCTCTGGCCTCCGCATGCATACGCATAAGCATCTAAGTGCACACATACTAGTTCAGAGTTAATATGAATTATGCATAAAACATCATTAACACCTATCTATTGTTAAATGTTAAAATGATATTTTATACACATTAAGTAAAATACATAATGAAAATTAATTTTATCCCAGCACTCAGAAAGCAGAAGCAGGTAGATCTCTGTTATATAGCAAGTTCCTAGCCAGCCAGGTCTACAGAGTGGGACTCTGCCTCTAAATAAATAAATACATAAGTTTTAAATTAAATTAATTTTACCCATTCCTTTTGTTCTTTTAAAACAGCTACTCGAAAGCTGAAAAGTACACGTGTGGCCCACATTTGTGACTTGCATCTCTGTTAGGCAGAGGTAGTCCCCAAATGGCCATCAGATGGCGCATCATCTCAGGACAGAGGGGCCTCTGTCTAAAATGGGTCCAGGATGAGAGAGTTGTGTGGGTGGGGAACACAGAGAAGGAAAAGAGCCAGCTGGAAGTAAAGACAAGGAGTTGTGTTCAGCAGTTCACTTTAGGGTTGAGCTGGACCGGGGCAGCCCTGGGACAATGGGCACACCCATACTGTGACAGGGAAGCCATTGTTGCTGTTCTTTTCTACTTGAAAACATCAGTGGAACATCAGTGGATCCATACCCAGATCAAGCCCTAGAACTCCAGACTTGAAAAGAGTGCTCACAACTCATTCAGAGCCACCCAGCCCTGCACCCTACACCTGAGGGGCCTGAGTCAGAGACAAGCAACTAAGAGTCTGTCTCCTTCCAAAACCTTGTATCTAACTGCATGGGGTGGAACACATCTGTAATCTCAGCTAAGTGTCTCAGCTAAGTGAGGAAGATCCAAGTTTGGGGCCAGCAAGACCCTATCTCATAACACACACACACACACACACACACACACACACACACGCAGAGAGAGAGAGAGAGAGAGAGAGAGAGAGAGAGAGAGAGAGAGAGAGAGAGAGAGATCTCAATTTCCCAAGCAAAGGGCAGTGCCTGAACCCACTGTACTATGATCCTGGCCCAGCTCCTAACTTCCCCAGGATGAGAGCCAACTTCTCCATGTCGTAATTCATGAAGTCAAACTGTCATTCTAAAATGCCCTGAGGCACCAACCAAATTAAATGTGAAGGCCTCTGGGAAAATTAGAAGCATTCCCACAATCTTTATCTTCTATAACTCGACCCAGCAAAATGGATTCTGAACCCCCAAAGAACTGAATACAGACCCTTAGCAAGAGCATTTGAAACATGAACCTCAAATATGGGGTACCTCACTCAATCCAAGTTTCTGGCTGGAGGAAGCCTTAGCGGCCACCTAGTTCAGATCAGGGAACAAGTTGAGGCCAAGAAAAAAAGTGAGAGGTTACCTCTCACCTTGACATTAATATCTATAAATTCACTGATTATAAACCGACCCTTTCAGGAAACCAACAGGAGTAGAATCTGAGGCCATTCTGAGCCCACTTATATCATCTCCCAACAGAGTCCACTGTCTTTAATCCATTGGGTTTGTTTTAAAGATGTTTGTGTATTATATAGTGTATATATATATTTAGTGTGTATATATGTATACGTATATATGTGTGTGTGTGTATACACTGTATGTGTGTAGATATATATATATAGCATGTACCTGTGTCTATGTGTGTATATATGTATATATACTGTATATGTATATATATTTATATAGTGTTTATATGTATGTGTGTTTATGTATACATGTATGTATGTGTGCACACACACGTGTGCCTGTCATGGGGCACATGTGGCAGTCAGGGGGCAGCTTTACAGAAGTCAGTTCTTTCCTTCCATGGTGGGTTCTGAAGATAGAATTCGGGTCACCAGGCTCACTCAGCAATTGCTATTACTGCTGAACCATCCTGTGGACCCCTGGATATGTACTTTTCTATCTTCTAGTTTTCTTTTTTTCTTTCTTTCTTTTTTTTTAATCTTCTAGTTTTCAAAAGCCAGTGGTTGTAGTGTATAATCATCAGTCTGATTCTTTTTTAAAATTTTAATCAGCTTATCTCAGTGTCTTCCCACCTGCTCTGACAACTTTCCTCCAGAGACTCTCGGCTGGGATCAGAATTCTTTGAGTAACCAAGTGAAATGATCAGTTCACTTGCACTTCTACAGAATGAAGTAAGTCTAATTCTACATCTGATTTCCAGAGCACAACCTGCCTAAGGGGGAGGGGGCAGGGGACGGAGAAAGATCCCTGAACTAGAGGGCACGGGGCAGATGGGAGCCATGAGCAGCAAGCGTGATAGGCCTGTGATTATCACTCTGAACGCAAGTCCTCTCAGCTCAAAGTACAAAAAGTGATGGGTGGAGAGGAGAGGAATCCAGCGCCATGGTCAGGGGCCCCAGAAAAGCCTGAGCGCGGGAAGATAAGTGCCAGCAGGTGGGAAAGCTCCCTGGGCAAAATCTAAAGGCTTAGCTTGAAATGCAGCAGGCTTTGAGGCCCTGGAGGAAAGTGCAGCAGGCCTTGGAGGTCCGACAGGCTGGGCAATGAGGGGTACTTCTTCGTGGAAAGGTGTTGCCCGAAATGCCCCCAGGGTCGTCCCGGGGCGGCGGCTCCAGGGCGCTGCCTCACCTGGGACCCGGCCGCCGCGCTCTCGGTCTCTGCCCTCGCAGCCCGGGCGCAGCTCGCCAGCACCACGAACCCAGATGGGTGGCCGGGTGCAGCCTCCAATAGGGCGGCCTTCACGGACGTGGTGCCCAAATCGATACCGAGAGTGATGGGTCGCGAAGCCATGGCAATGGTGACAGCACAGCTCGGGTGGCTTGAACCGCACGCTGAGGAACACTTCAACCCGGAGGGCAGCAAGGGGCGGAGCTTCCTTGTCAATCTTTTACCGCTCCTATTGGTCGAGGAAAGCAGACTCCACGCGCTCCTTCTCAGCGGCCTCCGGCGATAGGTGGAGAGACGACAGAAGGCGGGACCTATTGGTTGGAGGTTCCGGAACAGTGCTTTCACCAAGGAGCACAGGGTTTCAGAGACAACAGAGACTTCGAGAGCCCTGCCTCCCCTACAAGAGACTATATCTCCCCTCACATCCGAACCCCTGTCCAATACAAGGTGCCTATGCTCTTCTGCCCTTCCGCCTTTCCACCCTTCCCTCAACCCTACCAAGCTTTATCTGCCTATGACTCGTGAAAACTACAACTTCCAGAGCTCCTTGCACGGGGCTTTAAGTCAGGTGGTTCAGGTCAGGTGACAGCTGGCCCCGCTTTCACAAAAAGTCGGCGGAGCTCAAAGAGTCCCTTACATTCCTAAGCGGTATCTGGTGCGAGATTGTTGCTTTCGGTGAGGTCGGTCCACCAAGCCTGGGAAGCTGTCAGGTGAGAACCATCGCGATTGGGACAGCTACCTCTTTTTCTGGTAGGACACCACCTACCCCAACAGACATTAGCCCCGCACCTCAGAGGGGCAACCTACCGCGAATCTAGCCTGTTTCAGCTGCGTCTGGGTTTCTAGCCTCTGGCCCCAACCCTGGCCTGCACATCCCCAGGTTGTAGGGCCAGGGTGTTGGTGAGCAAAGGCAGTGGCACCGGCTGCCAGCCGGTGCTGGTGGTACTATTCGGAACCCCTTGCTTGCTTTATGTGCCGCTGCCTGAATCTGGCTTGGGAATGTGCAGGTAGCTTGGAGTTGGGGGTAGATGCTGATAGGACCGTTCCAGGAGCTCCTGTTGATTCTCCCAGAGAAAGAGAGGTTACCTGGGTTTTGCCTTTTCAATAACATTGAGAAAAATAACTATCTATGCTCTGTGAGAGCTTGCTGGGAGCCCTGGGTGGTAGTAGTAATAACATTACATCATTGTTTCTCAACTGTTTTTTTTATCTTATCCACCTCCTTAAATTTTTAATACAGCTGATAAGCTCTATTTTTAGGTCCATGAGGGGAGGGGGGAGGGGGAGCAGAAGACAAAGAGTGATGGGTATGGTTTCAGAAGCCCTGTGAGTAGGTGTGGTGAATGACCACTCCAGGACCAGCTTATAAAGTTTTGGGGGACTGAGGGTAGGAACATCCAGGATAGGCAAAGGTCATTGACTGAGGGCTTAGGATACCAAAATGCCCCATTAGCATGGGAAAGCATTTCGGGAATCTCAGGTGCTCACTGAACAGGTTCTTATCAAGAGGAGGGAAATTGATCCTGTAATCTTACTAAGGCTATGTGGCATTCCTCAGGTAGAGGCCTGTGTTGGGGCTTCGAATTCCCCAGTCAGAGAATGAGAAGCCCCACTTGTGCTGAGCCCATAGGCTATCCAGTCATGGTGGACTCTGACATTAATTAGCAGAGTTTTCCCACAGAGGAAGCTCCAGGTTATAGAACAGGACTACCTCAGACACCTGACAAAGGGAAGCTGCCACAGGAGATCTCTGATTCCAGGTTGCTCTTGTGTGGGGATAGTAGAGGCTCTTGAAAGTGTGCCATCTGATTGAGGTGTGGAAGATGGTTAAAACACACACACACCAGAAGATGGGTATGGTGAGTCTGATTTTTTTAGCATATGGGCACCATCTGTTCTGGGTTTCTCCTTCAGGATGTCTTAGCCTTTAGCACTGGGAGACATTTTGCTGAGAGTGTTTCACAGTCCATATCTGCTTCAAAGAAACTAAAGAAGTGAATTTTTAAATTAATTTATGTATTTATTATGTATATACCATTCTGCCTGAATGTATGCCTACAGGCCAGAAGAGGACACCAGATCTCCTTACAGATGGTTGTGAGCCATCATGTGGGTGCTGGGAATTGAACTCAGAACCTCTGGAAGACCAGCTAGTGCTCTTAACCTCTGAGCCATCTCTCCGGTGGTGGTGGTGGTGGTGGTGGTGGTGGTGGTGGTGGTTGTTTGTTTGGTTGGTTTTTTTCCTGTTAACTTGTTGCAGAAAGCAGCTGAGGGAAAAGTGCAGTCCTGTGCTCACTTCCTCGGAGTAGGGCGTAACACAACCCACGCAGCTGCTCTGAGTGGCTTTGCCCATTACATGAAACATAGATAGGTCGTCTCTGGGGTCTCCTTCCCGGAGGTTGTGATGCCAAGCCTGTGAGGTCAGAGTTGTGAAGGAGAAGCCCTTTATGAACTGTCTCACTGTCATGGGTCAGGGAGCATGTTGTCCATCTAGAGCTGAGTTAATCCAACCTGAACATGCCTCTCTCTTGCTCTTTTTTCTTCCTAGTTCTGAGGAGTCAGAGAACATGATGAGGAATTGGCTGCTTATTTTGACCCCTTTCCTCTTGAAGTACATAGAGAAATGTGGTAAGTTTAAGAATGGCTTCTTAGCTTTGTAAAAAGGAAATAGTGGAAAAAGTAACCTTTTAATTTAATGCCTTTATTGTATTAATAGAATGTCGCCTCAGCTTTCCATATATAGGCATACTGTGGTGAGTTTTAATTTTGTTAGGGATGTAATTTTCTTCTCATACTATTTATTTAATGTAATAATTTTTTTTCAAGAACCAAACTTTAAGGATTATTTGTAAAGCGTAACTAACCTCTTTGTCACCAAAGGTTTGGTGCTATCCAGGCAACTTGTGGTTGGCCTGCCACTCAAGAAAGGTAGCCAGATCCAGTTCTGGTGTAGGGACATTATACAAAGAGCCAGATGGTCCCAAGCATAATCGACATTTTACCCTTGGGTCCCTCTCACCCTCTTGGTATCAGCACAAGTAACAGTTGGTTCTTTAGTCAGCCTATGTGACTGGTTTTCAGAGTCTTACCAAGCTGAGATAGTATCTGTAAAGAATAGCCTGTGCTTCTGCCCTCTGGACCTTACAGAAAGGATTATAGGCCCTGGAAGACACTGGAGAGGCCTTGTACCTAGATCTCCCAGATACAGACACAAGAAAAGTCTACCTGGCTCCACATTGTAAGAGGAAATACTTTTCCCTTAGAGGAGATTGGAACTGGTGACAGCATCCCAAGCCACACAGAAAGCACACTAGTGGAGTTTATACATGCTTCTCAGAGGACCCCTTCAAATGCTGTTGTCATCCCAGATATTCTTGCAATACCCAAGACATTTCTCCTTCTGTAAACAGCTGTGTATAATATTCACGATGCCCAGACCCATTTTAATCATTAGGTAGGTCATTACTCCAAAGTAAATGTATCTTAAATTCCCTCACTAACAATTTCCAGCAAACCTAGGGCATACCCTAGAAATCCTACACATGTTCCCTGAAGCTGCACACACTGGCTACATCCACCATTATGGTCGTCTGTCCTCTTGATGGCCATGGAACTGCTCATCTGAACAGCTCATCCAGGTTTGGTAAATATCAGCCATGTTCTTCTGAAGCCACACTTTATGGAGAAGTAATCTCTGCAGAAGAAAGAAAAAAGATAGGCCACAGCCACACTGAGCCCTAAGACTACGGAGTCAGTCTCTCTGGGAAGAGAGTTCATGAGCCTGTGTATGCCTGTGTGCATGAGCTCATAACAGATCCTGTCTGGGAGATAATGGCAAATCCTGCTAGTTCTCAGATTACACAGAGGATAAACTGAGACTCAGTGAGGTAGAGAGCTTCACAGATGGAGAACTGGAATAGGGCCTCCACTCCATTCCCCCCTTCTCTGTGAAGGAGCAGTAGAAGCTTCTGTAAAATCGAGAACCTGGGATTGGAATGGATCCCAGACTCACTCCGCCAGACTTTTCTTCTCCGTTGGGGGATCAGCATCAAGGACAATGGATCAACAGAAAGCCCTCCAGAGTTTGTCCTTTCTGACTCTGAGTGGAGCCTGTGGCAGCTCAGTCTAGTGGTAACAACCTGGGCTTTGAACCCAATGAAAGAAGCTTTGAGTTTTTCTTCAGTTGTTTCTAGCTACTATGTGGCCAGGGCAGGATCCTTTACTATTGGAGGGAATTTCCTTGACTTAAAATAGGATGAAAATTGCTCATTGCCTAAGATCATTATCAAGTGGGGGTTAAGAGAATAACAGAAACGGTGGCGTACCTGTAGTCCCAGCACTCTGGAAGCTGAGAGACGAAGGTCAGTAGTGTCCGTGTGTTCCAGGAAGACTTGACAACATAGTGAGACCTCACTCTCCAACCCCTAAACCTACCAGCAGCAATGGCTAGGGTGAGGTGAGGTGCAGAGTGGAAACCAGCCAATAGCAGCAGCTTAAATCTATAATCCCAGCTATGTGAGAAGCTGAGGCAGGAGGATCACAGAGTTAAGGCTTTCATGGGCTGTGGGAATTGAAGGCTACAGGGACCAATCTGTCATGAGTAATCCATCCAGGTGAGGGGTCTTGAGACTGTGTACTATGAAGAGTCACAGCTGGGAGACTTGCAACTTGGGACAGCCACCATCTACATTTATACATGGGGACCAAGCTGGGGAAAGCAGTTCAGATGTGGCAGAGCTGAGCCCAAAAGTATGAGTTTCAAGCTAGTGAGCACCTGGGGGTATGAGGTGACTCTCCCAGGAAATGTCCACGCAGAGGAATCAAAACTATCGGTAGAAGTACCAAGGAGAGAAACCAACTGAAGAGGTTGGAGGAGACACTGAAGCTTCTTCTTCCAATCTGAGCTCTAAAACTTCAGAACCTAGTTCTTCATCCATACTGTGGAAGGTTCTGGGTAGAGGCCTGCAGCTTCTATCCCTATGAGAGCTATCTTTACCATATTGAACACTTCCTCTGCTACATAAGACGCCCTCTCCTCTCCTAGTCTGGATCCCTGATCATGACTTCTAGGATGTGCATGTCCTTGAAGTCTGTGAGAGGGGCAGGTATGCCATGAAGCTTTGAGCTTGTTTGGGGATGGCACAGTGACAGGGGAGGTCAAAGAATACAGAAATTATTTAAAGACACTAGCCAGCCAGTACACAGTGTGCTGGGTACTCGATCTCCCTTCTGTCTCCTGTCTTTTTTGATGCTGGAGGTTGGTTGGATTCAGGGTCTTATGAACACTACCTATGCATCCTGCCTCCAAACCACACTCCCAGTCCGCCCCTCGCCCCAGAATGGCTTTCTAAGACCCAAGCCTGCTTCTCTTACCCTGGTGGCCTGTTTGTCCACTTTCTCCTGGGTTAGCGCCTTAATGCCAAGAAGCAAGCCCTGATAGTGAAAAGCGTTTGTCCCTCGCCAGTCTTCCAGTCCCCAGCAGACAGACAGCCTCAGGAAAGGAACCATGCATGGGCTGAGCTGAGTCTTCAGGAAAGCCCAGAAGGTTCTTTAGAAATACATTAGCCAGGCCTCGTGCCCATCTCAGAATGCAGGAATGAGACCAGACCAAGTTTTCAGAGGAGACCCATCCACTGTCCATCTGCAGAGGTAGATGTAGAACCATCTGCCCTTTCCAAACACAGATGCTGCTTTGAATTTCTTTTTTTTATAACTTTTGGGCTCTGTAGTTCCCAAACTGTTTCTGGAGAACTCAGATAGTTCACAGAAGGGAAGAAGGAGGAGGAAGTCCCAGCACTTCCTGCTCTAGCCTGTGGCCATCTGGCCCTGGTACAGAGATGGGAAGATCACAATGTAAGCCTAGAAGTAGACCTAGGAAGCAGGACTGTCAGCGAGCCAGGGCTGGCGAGTTCAGATGGCAGAAGCCTGGTGCCCACCTCTCCCTGTGTTCCGAGCTCTCTGACATGATGGTGACTCATGTCATTGACTTGGGTCTTTCCAGAGTCAACTGTCAGCCTCACTGCCCCTCCCACCGTGAAGCTGGAAAATGGCAGTTCAACCAACGTCAGCATCACCCTTGGGTAAGTTCTCCAGGCCCAGTTCTGTCCTCAGCCCCTCTGCACAGTCTACGTGTACTTCAGGTGTGATGTTCTTGCCTCTTTGTTGTTGGACATAAAAAAAGAGTGGTCCGAGCCCTCAGAGCAGGATCCCAGAGTCAAACATGCACAGAGTGGAGAGGAAACATGAGCTGTTCCCTCTAGAGAGGAGCATCCTCAGGTGGTCACAGGTGATGCCAGACTTCAAGAGAATGAATATTTGAGCAGAACCCTAAAGATGAAGGGGCAAGGAGCTGAACTACTGACCATCACAGCACTGCTGAAGTCACTTGCCAGAGTGGACAAAGTGACTGTATCAAAGGGCCCCACATGTCCCAGCTCACACTTTGACTTTGTCCAACTTGCTGACACCTACTGGTCTTGAAGGTCTTGACTTGGTTTACCCTCCACCAAAAGATCCTCGTCTATGTTTGTGGTCTTTACTGCTCCACTGTGCCTATGCCTCCCAGCCGAGACAATGCCATTTACACCTCACCGGTCCTGGAAAGCCTGACCTCAAACCCAAGCTTTGGTGCCCAGGCCTCCTCACAGGCCTGCTGCTGTCCTCTGTGCCTTGCACACCTACCCCATGCTAACAATCCAGGTTATCTACTTACCACCCCACTCTTTGGAACCCTTAAGTGGCTTCCCACATTTGAGGCTCCCATGGGTTGCTTCCAGAGAGCCTCTTCTCCTTCAGTCCCTGCTGGCCTTCACACCACACTCTGTTCAGACCTAACCCTACCAAAGGAGCCTTTCCCACTATGGCAGAGAACTGTAGACCTTTCCCCCATTGCCCCTGTTATTCATAGCCAAAATTCCACCTCACCCTACCCCAAAGGGACATCTAGTCTCCTGATAGAGCAGAAACAGGGTTCCACCTCTTACCTCTCCCAGTTTAGGGGTAAATATCTAGGTAATGATAGTAAAGCATAAAATCATGCAAAAAAAAAAAAAAAAGCCACACACACACACAAACCCACAAACCCTCTGAGCTGTCAGAGCATTTGTGTATAACATATAATAACAGCAACTCCTCGGGGGAGTGGTCATCCTTGGGCTTAGGAGACTGGAGGGGAACAGAACGGAGCTTCTGGGGTGTGTGAAATCCAGGGGGTGGGTTGCTATCTTACAGGGTCCACTTCCCAACAGTAACCAGGCTCTTCTCTGCCATAGGCATCCATTAAATGCGACCTTGGTGATCACTTTTGAAATCACATATCGTTCAAAAAATCTTACTATTGTGGAGCTTCCTGATGAAGTAAGTAACAGACCTCCGCTAATGTTTAAGGCAGTACTAGGCAACAAAATACATTTTAATTAAGAGCTTGTGGAAATAAGTCACCTGGGCCACCCCATTCCATCATCCTAAAAATCTGTGGTTTGGGCTTTATTGCACCCTTCAAGGATGAGCGTTTTTCCGCGGTATAGTTTGGAAGCTTCCATCCAATAGGATGACCAGCTTCTGGGATCAATCCTACAGAATAACCATGGTTGGTAATAACAGGGTATAGTGTATAGTCAGGTGCCAAAAAAAGAAGCCTGAGGCAAAGGTGGCCCTGAGAATGGAAAAGTTCTAAAGAATTTCACCCTGCCACATCCACAGATAGGAAGTATCAGCCTCACTTAAAACATTTTAGGAAATGATGGAGTTCTCAGTGTAGAACCATTACCTAGCATACTTGAGGGTTTAGCGTCAGTCCCTGGCACCAGCACGCACGTCCACGCACGCGCACACATACGTGCACTCGCACGCACGCACGCATTCACGTACAAGTACTTTTATTCTCTTGTCTTTGAAGCTTACTGCCTCCCTGCTAACGTAGGCCTAGTCCTGTAAGCTTTAGCCTCCGTAAAGTCTCATCTAGGCCTAGAATGTTTTCAGCCTCTGACTTACTGCTGAATAAGCTCACCCTTTCTTGTTCTTTCTGAACTCTGGCTGGCTGGTTCAAGTCGGCTGTTCTGCCTCAAACTCCTCTCCACACTGCTTGAGTCAAAACTGGCCTCTTTCTCAGCCTCTCCTTAATTGCTCTGCTTGGCCTCATTCTAACTTTGGCAATACATTCTAGTCTTCTGGCTCCTTCTCATTCTCTGGCTCATTCTGTCTTCACCTGTGTCTAACTTGTTCTCTGTCTCTCTCTGTCTGTCTCTCTCTCTCTCTGAGTCTCTGCAACCTCTGTACTCCTGTCCCAGTAAAACTTCCTCCTTTTTTCCTTCTCCTTTTTCTCTTTGTGCTCTCTTAAATACCTTCTCTTCCTCTTCTTGTAAGAGTTGGACATATCCTATTCTGTCAAATCTTTCTCTGATTTGTCATTTTATCTGCCACTCAATTAGAAGTCACTTTCAAACATGGGTGCTTCCTTCTACAAATTACCTTTACCTTCTTTGGGACTAACGGTATGTACTAAGATCCTATCTGTATGCCAGCCAGAGGGATTTTAAAGCTGTATGCTAAGGTTGGGCCATACTACAATTAAAAAATAGCTTTTTTTCAATAAATAGCATAATCTTGGGGTTCACAGTGTGATCAAATCTCCCATAACACACACTCACAAACACACACACACACACTCACAGCTCCACACAGCTTTAGGGCTAAGGCCAGCATACAACACGATGAAAGGCATAGTCCTAACAGCAGGTCTGGTGCAAGGACACCAAGCTTTGCTTAATCTGCAGACTCTCAGAGGAGCAGACACCAATAAATTCGTTTAGATGTAAACATCTAAGTAAAGGTATCCATTTGTAAAAATACATGAAAGTCAAGAATATCAGGCAAAAGAAGTTCAACACAAAAGAACGGGCTGTAAGTTTCCTTGAACATAAAATACAAAAGTAGTGAACCCATGATGTCAGGCCAGTGGTTATCCTCAGAGTCAAGAGACTGGGGTGGGGTAGAATGGAGCTTCTGGGGTATTGGAAATGCTGACTTCCTGTTCTGGAGGCTCACTGTGTCCAGTCTGTGGACACTTCATCAAACCGTGATGTGTGCACTTTCCTGTAGATGAATCACAGGCCAAGCTTTTGTCTTAATTAACAGTGAGTCAGAGCCAAACCATCTGTGGAAGATGATCTTTATGAACACCTGAACCCACCTTCTCAGTCTCCTGCTTCACTCTCCCCTCCCTGTCCAGAGCTAAGCATCCTTGTCCTGTACCTTCGATATAAGAAGCCAGTGGCTAGAACCTGGGAGTCAGGTAGTTTAGGAGTTCAACCTTGAAGCCTTGGGTCAAGGACTTCAGCCGACAATGTTTTCCTCATTTGTAGGCATAGGGCTCATCATGTCTCCTGGACCATGCTCTAGGGATTAAAAGCAATAGCAGCAAGTATTAAATGGCTGGCATTGACCTTACAGGGCCTCAGGAGTCTTCAGTAAGAAGCCCTGCTAGCCTGCATCCCATCTTTTGGGAGTGAAAGCAGGATGATCTCAGAGTCTAGTTTCAGGGTAGGAGGGAAAGCAGATAAATGTACGTGCTTGTGCCTGTACTCCCAGCACTCAGGAGACTGAGGCATGGGGATTTCTGTGAGTCTGAGAACAGCTGGGACTATATAGTAAGTTGCAGACCAGCCGGTGCTACATAGCAAGACTCTGCCTTAGAAAACTAGAGAAAGAGACAAATCAAGAAACCACTATTGTGGGACTGGAGAGATGGCTCAGTGGTTAAGAGCACTTCTTCCAGAGGTCTTGAGTTCAATTCCCAGCAACTACATGGTGGCTCACAACCATCTACCCTAGGATCCAATGCCCTCTTCTGGCATCATATACATTACATAAATAAATAAATAAATAAATAAATAAATAAATAAGTCTTTAAACAACACCACTATTGTTTAATGAGCCACATCCATGTGGAACTTACAACATAGCTTGAGGGTAGGACCTAGAGTACTACTGGGGAAAGTGGGACAGTTTGGTTCCATGCAGATGCTATCTAGCTCCCTGCTTCTCTGGGGGGATTTCAGTGTGGGTGGAAGATGACCAAAAAGAAAGAAAAAAAAATCAGATGGCACAGGCAGGCTCTAAGCCCATCTTCTGGGAACAGGGCTTTTGATAAATATCAAGCAGAAATGACCACGAAAGCATCTTGTGGTCCCACCTCTTCTGCTTTGCTGTTAGGCAGTTGAAGCAGAGCATGAGGAAATATCCTTTGATGCGTTTCAGCAAGCATCCCGCTAACGGAAATAGAACTAGTACATCATGATAGGAAGCACTCCCAGCCCACCACGTGCCCAGCTCTGTCCTGTAAGCTTTAGGAGCATCATCATCCAGAGCAGTGCTGTGAGGTAGGCACTCGTATGATCCCCATGTACAGATGAGTAAACTGGGGTAGCATGGTTAATGAGGGGAAGACAGCAAATCTTACACTCCTTCAGTGGTTAGCCAGGGAGGGCCAAGGACCAGCCTACTGTTCTGCTCAGAAAGCCAAGTAGAAACATGGCAGGATGGGCCTCAGGTTGGCCAGCCCAGTGCTTCTTGTGACTGGTTAGCAAGTTCTCAGAAAGACCTACCCCATTCTCCGGTTCACTGCCTGGAGCTAAACCCTATAGTTATACATGGCCACAAATTAAATTCAGTCTTCCTAACAGGTTATAGTGCCTCGTGGAGAGAAAAACACCTCTTTCCAAGTGACTTCTCAAAATATTGGACAAGTGACTGTTTATCTGCATGGAAATCATTCCAACCAGACCTGGTAGGCTGGTGCCACCCCCACCCAAGAGGCCTCATGTAGGGGGAAGGGTGGCCATGCACAGATGTCCATGGGGACTTCCTCCCAAACCTTCACCAAATGCATCCTGACCTCAAATCCCTTTCTAGCCCCAGGATCCGGTTCTTGGTGATACACAGCAGAATTATTAGCATCATAAACCAGGTGATTGGCTGGATCTACTTCATGGCCTGGTCTGTCTCCTTCTACCCACAGGTTATCCAGAATTGGAGACGGAAAAGGTAACCTGTCCAGCTTATAGCTGTCCCTGCAGGCCCTTGTGGGGCTGCAGGAAGACACCCCTCTACACTTCTCTCTGCCTGCTAGTAGGGCTGGATTTCCAGTGTTAGCTATTTGGTTCCTTGCCCAGTTCAGCCCTTCTCTATGGGAACAATGACATGGAGCTTCACGGCTAAGCCAAAACTAGACTGGGTAGGAGAAATTCTGCCCTGAAGCTCCTTGGCCCGGAAAGGCTGGGCATCATGTCATGCAAGTTTCAGCCCCAGAGACAAAGCACTTGTGCTTTGACTTAACAAAGTAAAAGCAGACCTGGGGTTAAGGTCTCCTGGGGTCTCCTGTCTTGACATTGCCACGTGTCTCGGGTCTCACAGAGGACTGCTAAGCAGTGAGCCAGGGAAGTGGGTGCTCTCTCTCCTAGGGCCTCCAGGAGAAGCCTCTGAGTATGGGAGGGGAGGAGGGGATGACTCTCAAGAGAGTCAGTTGAATGGCATCAGCTATGGTAATGGTGAGATCTCTAAGGGCGGTGCCGAGGCCTCCTTTCCCATGTCCTAAGAGCTATGCCCCTCCCATCCCAGGGGTTCCCTGCCTCACCCCTGCCCCACTTTGTTCCCCTCTGTCCCCCTGCAGTGTCATTGGTCTCAGTTTTGACTTCTTAGCCCTGAACTTGACAGGCTTCGTGGCTTACAGCGTTTTCAACATCGGTCTTTTGTGGGTGCCCTACATCCAGGTACAGTATCACTCACTCCCTATAGCCCACGCAAGCCCATGTGTGACTGTGTGTCTCTTCACCTCTCAGCTTCTCCTCACCCCCCAACAGGAGGAGTTTCTCCTCAAATATCCCAATGGCGTGAACCCTGTCGACAGTAATGACGCCTTCTTCAGCTTGCATGCAGTCGCCCTCACCCTGATTGTCATCCTGCAATGCTGCCTGTATGAGGTAAGCAATGAGACCTGGTGACCTGGAGGCCTGGTGACCTGGAGGCCATTGATGTCCTAAGCCAACTCCCACCCAACTCTACCCACATGCCTCGAGAGGATGGTGACATGATGCCCCCAGCCTTCTGTGGCTGAGTGGATTTGGGGTGGACTTTGCTGTCCTGTTCCTGGCTTACCTGAGGGAGTGTGTCAGGAAATGGTATTTGTGGGCCACGGGTAAGTGAGGTTCCTTGGTAAAGTGGAAGGCAAAGTCATTCACCATGAAGCAAGGGAGACTGAGCAGATGGGAATGCCCAGGGTTAGGGGAACCAGTTGGCAGCCAACCCCTGGGAGGATAGGAGGAACCTGGATTCAGCTCTGTCACCGAAAAGCTATCTGGGGTCTCAGCATGGACTGAGGGTACCTTTAAGAAGTCCTGGTGTTTCCTAGGAGCTCTCCTGATGTGACAGCTTTACAGTCACCTCCATAATGTGCCACCTCCTCACATCATACCCAGTACGGGCTGTGTGACCTTGATGAAGCTTGGTTTTCTTATACCTTCCCTGTGACACTCAGCTGAATGTCACTTTGGGACATGTCTGGAGAAAATCTGAGGTGGGGACAGATGCTAAGGTCCCCAGGTTTCATCCACGTTGTGGAATGAGCTGACAGCAGGACTGGTGAAGTACTGGGCTTTTGACATCGGGGTTCATGCCCCTGTTCTGTTTGCTCCCTCCAAATGAGCTCTGAGGTGTCTAGCTCTGCAAGGGTGGAACTTGGTCAGCAGGGGCAGGAGGACCACCATGGATAGAAGAGGAGAGCTTGGTTATAAAAGGCTGGTGCTGGTGCTGGGGACTCCACACCTCATCCCAGCCCAGGTTTGATTCACCCACTACCCAAATAGAGCCTTGGATTTGGTCTCCTTACTTGGCCTTGTGCAGACACAGCCCCAGTGCCCTTGGCCCCTTCTTTACACAGGTTATACCAAGACCAGGCTTCTGCCTCCAGTCCTCTCCTCCCATCCACCCTGCACCCCTGTCC